AATTGGCAACAATGACAAACTTCCAAGTATATTGAAAGATCTTGAAAAGACCATCATTGATAATATGAATGAGAAAGAAAAGAAAAATTATGAGAATGAATTTGGTTTGATTGACAAACTTGATGAAGTTTCACAAAAATTGTTGCCAATGGAAATTGATCAAAGACCGCCAGCATTCATTGACATGCTAAATGAATTGGAATTGCCTGAAGGCTTGTATATACCTTCCAATCCTAATTACAAGATTATTTCCATTGATTCTGAACATTCTGTCCCTTTGAAGAGTCATGCAAGAGTCCCAATTCTGGTCCACTTTCAAGTTTATGATGAAAACGATGAAGAGAAGAAACCGATTCCATTTTCATGTATTTTCAAAATTCACGACGATGTCCGTCAAGATGCGATGATGATCCAGTTCATTGACATGATTAAGCAGATCTTAAACGATGCCGGAATTGATCATTATCTATTTCCTTATCGTGTGTTTGCAACAGGTGAAAATAGAGGCGTTATTGAATGTATTCATAACGCGAAAAGTAGACATGATCTTGGAGTTGCAACAAATGAATTCTTATTGACTTACTTCATTAACAAATACGGTCAAGTTGGAACTCCAGGTTTTCAACGTGCTCAAGATAATTTCATTAAATCTGTGGCACCTTATTCGTTGATTTGTTACCTCTTCCAAGTGAAAGATCGTCATAATGCAAACATAATGATAGATGAAGATGGTCATATGTTACATATTGACTTCGGTTTCATATTCGAAATTTCACCTGGTGGAAACATGAAGTTCGAAAAAGCGCCTTTCAAATTAACTAGAGAAATGATCGACGTCTTGGGTGGTTCAAAAGATGCTTTAGCTTTCCAAAAATTCGTGAAATTGCTAACTAAATGTTTCTTCGCTGTTAGAGCAAGACACGAAGAACTTGAAGCAATTACTTCTTTGATGATGAATGCTGGGTTCCCTTGCTTCTTGCCAGATTCTATTAAAAAGTTGCAGGCTCGAATGTTCATTAATAAATCGGCAAAAGAAACTTGTAATGAAATTATTAAGTTGGTCGATAGTTCATATGAATCTAGCTTCACAACAATGTATGACGGTTTCCAGAAGAAATCAAATGATATTTGGTTTTAATTTAATTAAATAAAAAGTTTTTTTTAGTTCGAATATTATATAAAATTTTTGTTTTTTTATGAAGTTTAGAAAATTGAATAGATTATGTTTAAAAGCTTTATTTTGATTGTTGTTTGAAGTTGAGATTAAAAAAAAAGAAAAAAGAAATAGATAATTTGATTAGATTCCGTTGATTAATCAAAATTAAGCTCCTTAGGCTTGAATATTTCATTTTATGATAATCTCAAGTTGGTTTAAATTTATAGTTTCTTGTATGTATTCATTTATTTATGTATATTTATAGAATATGAAAATTTACAAATTGAGAAAAGAATCTAATGTCTCACAAAATTTGTGTAATATCATTGAATTATTTCTGAAATTAAATATAATAAAGCTCACAAAAATAAATTATATTCATATCTTGAAAATGGACGTACATGAAATTATATATATCATTTTATAAACCTATTATAAATTATATAAAAATATAAAAAGTTTTATTTAAAATTTTATCCACGAATTCCCCACATGAATACATCTTCGTATAAAAATTATAATTGAATTATTGAACCATTTCCTCAGAAAAATAAAAACTCAATTTTTTTATTCATTTCATGCTAAATATCACAGCCATATCTCTTTCTTTAGCTTCAATATATTCCATTTCACCATTATTTGTAAGAAATCGAAATAATTTTCAGCATTTCTCAATGAAAAATTATATATTTAGTGCAATTTTCATGAATCCAGAACGATTAAAATTGGAGAGAAGTTCATTTGATTACGGAATTGGCTCTTTATTATATTCTCATGATATTAAATCTAATTTAAATGCTGTTATTCCAGATTTTGTTGAAAAAACGTATATTAATTCTAATATAACAAGTTATACGAGTCCACCGAATGAATATCATTTAATCACAGTCAGAGATTGCATTTTTCTAAGCATTCAAACACCAAATGACAATGGAATTTTAAATTGCTTATTTAATATTTCTAATACATACACATTTTACATGACGAGTTGTGCCTTTGATAAATGCAGTTTTAGCAAGCCAATGTTTTGTTTAGCATCGAGAGCTACAACAATATCACACATTTGCTGCTCAGAACTGACAGGAAGCGAACAAGAAGATGCTCTTTTTATGAAAACAGACACACCACAAGATTCTTTTTTCAAATTTATATATTCTACCATTTTTGGCGAATCAAATTACTTCAAAGTTCGTGGTTTATGCGAATTTGGTGGTCGTGCAGCATTACAATATCAATGCATTAACATTTCCAAATTTATCTTTGATAAGAACCAAGGCTTTATTACACGAATTTATGCATCAAAATGTATCACAATGCAAATGAACACATTTGCACATCTTGATACTCAATATATTCTCAATTTGAATATTCAAGATGGCGCTTCAAATGAACGATATAACCATTACATTGGATTGACCAATTTTTACCAAAACAAGCAACAAAATGCAATTGTTCTCTTTGATATGAACAATGACGCACAAGCAATTCTTGATCAGTGCTATTTTTCAGATATTGTGAGTGATGGTGAAAAGATACAAAAAAATAACGATAACTCTCAAGTTGTCATTTCAAATTGTATGTTTGTGACTTATTTGAACATCGGCAGCAGCAAATTTGTCACAAGTAACAATAAAGAACACGAAAATTTTCAGTCACACACGTTCGCTCATTATACATATGAAGAGATGTGTAAAGGTAAATATGTAATTCCTGCTTTTGGATGCCAAAATGATACTTGCCCTGCAGGTGATGGTTGTCAAACATTTGGATTCACAACTGGTGACATTGCTTATACGGAAAAGTTCCATCCAGACATAAACACACCTACTCCATCACCAACAGTTTACTTCAGTGAATCAGCCAAATTTTCATATTCTTCTGTATTCACTTTTTCAGAGGCTTTTTCAAGATCATCTTTTTTCACGAAATCTGCATGTTTTAGTGGTTCAAAAGAATTTACAAATTCGATAAAATTCACTGAAACGAAAGATTTTACTGAAACTTCTGGTTTTTCTAAGTCAAATGATTTTACAATATCGGACAGTTTTTGGCCAACAGTTGATTTCAATCATACAAACACACTTAAACCTTCGTCTGCATTTTCGCCTTCTAAATCGTTCTCAAAATCAAGCCAGTTTTCAAAATCTGATGTTTTTACTGCAACTGTTGAATTCACCAAAACAGGTCAATTTTCTGAATCTTCTGATTTTTCAAAGTCAAATTTGTTCTCCATATCAAATGAATTCCAACCAACAAAACAATTTTCTGATTCATTTGTATTTTCAAATTCCAATTTGTTTTCAAAATCAGAAAATTTCAAGGCTTCGAATGTTTTCACTCAATCAACCATCTTTTCGAGTTCACTGGCTTTTACTCAGTCAGCTGTTATTAGAGGAGTTGTTCCTGTTAAAGACAGTGACGATGGAAAAAAGTTGGGAACAGGTGCATTTGCCGGTATTGCTGTTGGCATTGTTGCAGCTCTTGTAATAGTTGCTCTTCTGGTTTTCTTCTTGATTAAGAAAAACAAAGCACACATTAATGAAGAAGAAGTTGAAACGCTTGATGAGACACAATCAACAACAAATACAGACAATCCTATTTACAATAAAAATGCAGAAGATGATCCATTTAAAGATGATTTTAATGATTAAGTGCCAGAAAAAGGCAATCTCTTCTATTGGTAGATTACCAGTTCTAATTGAAATTAACATTTGCTGGTTTAATAATATTATTAAATTTACATAATGATGTAAATAAATAAAATTATATAAAAAGTATTCTTAATTTCCCCTATATGTCATGAGTTTTGTAATTTATTTCTGCTTATTCTTATATTATCATAGATTCTTCCTATTTTGAAAATTTTGAAATAACTCATAGAATTAATTCAAAGAAAATATAAAAAGAAAAATGAATTTAAACTCAAATGAATCTAATAGATATAAACGATTACAACAGCCAAAACAATCTCAACAATCAATGAAATTTCAGCCCTAAATATCTAAATCATCTGATATTCTCTAATCACAGATATCTCAAAGTTCACAAAAACCACAAAATCAGCTAATTTCAAATTCTTCTGATGAAATCAATGAACAACAGGAGATTTAACAAAGATCACCAAAATCAAAAAAAAAAGGCAAAAATCGAATTTATCAGATGAATACGATGATCAACAAGAGATTTCACAAAAACGACAAACATCACGCAAACATAAAAAACTCAATTTATCAAATGAATACGATGATCAACAGGAGATTTCACAAATATCACCACTATCACAACGTTCTCAAATCTCATTTTTATCCAATGTCCGGAAAGTAAATGAAAGCAAAGAGCCAATAAAATACCAGAATGAAAATAGACCAGACTTGATTGATGGTGATAATAACTCAAATAAAGGGGCAACACTCAAAAAGTAAAAATAATTGTTGAAATAGCACAAGCAATGTCATTTATTCACAAGCTTGGCATGATTCATCGTGATTTGAAAGTAGACAATATCATGCTTGATTCAAATTATGATGCAAAAATAATTGATTTTGGGCTTGTATCAATAAATGAAAGCTTATTTAATAATTATTCATTGACTACAGAATCAAAAACAAAAGGAATTGGAACAATTGCGTTTATGTCACCGAATAAATAGATATTTATTATTTGATCTGAACATTCTTTCTTTAATAAATTTCAAATCGTTGTTTGAATATGCCGGTTTTGTTAATCCTTAATTTATTGATGTCGGGATTTTGATTTTTTTATTGTTGTATATGCTTGCCATTTAAGAAAATTTTAAAATTATATTTTTAAAAATATACAAAAATATAAAAAAAAGCAAAAAAAGAAGGGAAGATTGGAATTGAACCAATATCTCTGAAAGTGCAACTCAGCATTCTACCATTGAACTACCTCCCATTTCATTCATTTATATATTTTTATTTATAATAACAAAAAATTCTTAAATAATATTTTTTCGATTGAAAAATCCACTACTTTTTTTTCAATGAAAACTATGATGCTTTCAATAGCTTATCAATTTTCACAATACATATATACATAAAATTGAAAAAGTTTCTGAAAATTGAATGTTGGGGAAATTGGCTCATCATTTTAAAATTATAAAAATGCAAAAAAAGCAAAAAAGAAGGGAAGATTGGAATTGAACCAATATCTCTGAAAGTGCAACTCAGCATTCTACCATTGAACTACCTCCCATTTCATTCAGTTATATATTTTACTTATAATAGCAAAATATTTCCCAAAAAAGATTCTCTCCTATCAAATATTGGATGATACAAATTCTATTTTTTTATATTAAAGTTTGTTATTTCTATTTCTCATTCAATTTTTTAGCTATTTAAAGCAAAATAAATGAAAGTTTTTTATAAATTTTGCGTTTAATCCAGAAATTTAATTTTTCAAAGTTATTTTAATTATTGTGAAGATAAAAAACATAAAACAAAAAATTTCAATTCAAATTTTGAATATGTAGAAAAAGCTTCTTTCAAAAAGTCAAAATCTGCCCATTAAATTTGATGTAAATTTTGTTATGCTAAGAAATAATTTTCATTTCATTAATTAATAATAATAATAATAATGAAGCACGTTAAATGCGTTGTTGTAGGAGACGGAGCTGTTGGGAAAACATGTTTATTGATCAGTTACACGACGAATGCGTTTCCAACTGAATACATTCCGACTGTCTTCGATAACTATTCAGCAAATCTAATGGTAGAAGATACAGCAATCAATCTCCAATTGTGGGACACAGCAGGACAAGAAGACTATAAAAAACTACGGCCGTTGTCATATCCAGAAACGGATGTCTTTGTCATCTGTTTCTCGCTTGTTTCGCCGACTTCCTTCGAAAATGTTGAAAACCAATGGGTCCCTGAAATCAAAGAGCACTGTCCGAACACGCCTTACATATTAGTTGGCCTGAAAAGTGACCTAAGAAATGAATTTTCATTGCACGAAGATGAGTACAAGGCAAAGGGAATGGAGCCTGTTCCAAAGGAAAAAGGTGAAGAATTGGCTAACAAAATTAAAGCTCGTGGTTACATTGAATGCTCTGCATTCAAGCAAACAAATATGAGAGAAGTTTTCGATTCTGCTGTCAAAGTTGTTCTTCATCCTGAAAATGATAACAACCAAGCAGATGCAAAAAACACTGAAAATTCATGTTGCTTGTTAATTTAAGAAAATTAAAATGCAAGCAATTTGATTAAAAAAAATAATAATTAATTTTCATGAAAAAAAAAATTAATATTAAATATTGATTTTTTAAATATATCTTTATTTTTATTTTTTTTACTTTCTTTCTAATATTTCTAATCTATACAACATGTATATTTGATTTCAATCATCTTTTTTATTGGTTGTTACAAGTAAATGATAGATAATATTTTTTTTTTTTTAATGAAGCAAGAATAAGCAAAATTATCTAAAGAATAAATTGTGTAATAATCTTATAAGAATTAGAAATGCATTATTGATTTTCGTATTTTTAACTGGGATTATCAAATATCATGAATGCAAATTTCATTTTAAGCAAGAATAGTGGTTTCAAAGTCAATGAGATAATGGTAAATAAAAAGAAACACATAGCATATGGTGTTTGAATACAGAAACACATTAAGCAGGAAATCATCCAAAAAGATAGAACAGATTAATTGCAAAAATGTTTGGTCCTTTAGTGTACTGCATTTTTTTTTTTTTTTTTTTTTTTGAACTAAACAGTGGCAGATTACTGAATGATATTAATTTCCATATTATAATTTAGGATCAATTAAGATATATTTGATGATTTTTAATATACGAGGTAATTATATGGCGTTTATTAGATTTTAATATGAAGTTGGTTTATTCAAGCTGTGATAAGGTTGAAAATTAAATAATGTGTATTTTGAGAGTTTTGATCCTGTCAAAAAAACTTTTTGAGAGATTTCAAATGTATTAGAATACATTTCGTGATATAAATGGGGAATTGAGGATAAGTTTCAACTCATTTAAAAAAAAAAAAAAAAGCATTCCCCTCTAATCATTTAATAATTTATAGTTTTTTGAATAACTTGTTATGTATAATATTTATATACAAAATAAGCTAAACCAATATAAAAATATAGTCTGAATTATTTATTAATCCAAGTAATCAAATAGTTATGTTCACCGGGACAACGATATGTCTGACTTCAAATATATTCAGAATTTGTTTCAATTCTGATACTAATTGCTAAACTCCAACCTCAATTCATAGAGTTTCGCTATTAGTATATTGGTAAGTGTCAAACTCAGAATCTATTAAAAATGGGTCATCAAAATCGAAATTTAATTCATCTAAAGTGAGCATCTGCCAGGCACCATTAATTATATCTATGTTATGATTCCATTTTTGTTCAAATTGTTTTTTGTTTTGAACTTTTGGAAGGAAATTGCAATGTTTGTCATCTTTTATATATTTCTTCATAAGGTCTGGATATTTACATGCTAAATATGTGAAAATTGTATTTGTATTATTGATATTATTACGAACAAATTGGCGGATAGAGCCGAATTTATTTGGGTTGATTTCTTTGAGAATACTATGTAAAAATTCTGTAATTTGATCTTTATTTATATGAGTTTCCTTTAAGCCAAGGCCCTGGTCTGAAATTAATTTGTAGAAGTTTAGTATTGATATGTCTATATTAGGATTTTTTTGGAGTAATATCTTGATTGTTTCATTAAAATCTGACATGAATTTTTCAACTCGTATTTCTTCTCTTGTTTTTGTGGTTGGTTCAATGTGAGTTATTGAATTCCATCTAATTTTAACGCTGATATTTGTTCTATACGGAAAAAATTTTCCTATTATTCTCCAATTTTTACCATGTTCCTTAACCAAACTGCGTAAAAAATCATCTTCCTCGGAATTCCATTGAGAAATTTTGAGTTCATGACTTAAATAGTTGTTAAATCTATCTCTAAGTTGTTTTGGTTTTCTTTCTGGCATGTAACATGAGATTTTATCAAAATCGTGACCAAATATTCCAAAATAAAAAATCAGTTTGGAATCTTCGTCATGGGTAAAATATTTCCGAGGTTTGCGTGTTGGGACGCTTTGCGCACTCATGAAGTTCAAATGATATGAAGTTTCAATATGTTTTGAAAAATTCAAAACAGATCATAATTAATTCAATTTTTAAATAGTACAATTTTTCTATAAAAAGTCTCGACATATCAAAATTCAATGATAATCTCTTTAACACGATCTATAAAAGAATATAAACGAAATTATATATGCCAATATATTCTTTAATAAAAAATATGAGTATACTATTGAAATTTTATGAGTTCGATAAAGATTATATTGATTATTATGGTAATTTTTTGATTCAATTAAAGTTTTTTTATTCTTTTCTGAAGAACACTCAAAAAGTGGAAATCTTTCAGAAAAAATAATCTAAATCAAAAAAACTGAAAACACAAATCTTTTTATATTCTTACATGGTTTTTATCGAGGCTGCATACAGCCTAGCGGGGGACGAGTGAGACTGAGCGAAACAAAGCCGAGTTGAGACCTAACGGACGGCGATAAGAATAAATAAAATTTTTTGCCATTGAAAAATTAAAACAAAGACGTTAACTTTTTGATACTTTTTTTTATAAAAATGATTTTAATTTATTATCTTAAGAATTTTTTTAAATTATAATAAATAATCAAGATATTTTACATAATAATAAATGAGATGAAAGAAAAATTAGAGATAAAATCAATCTATATTACCATTAAAAATGCGCATCTTTCAGATTTTTTTCAAAAAATAAAAATATCTCAAAAAATATCATTATTCAACTTTTTAATTTAACTATTTCTAATACACGTATGATATTAATAATTATTATTTTAGTTATAATATGATATAATTAAAAAATGAAAATAATTAGAACCATTTTTTTTTAAAAATTGGTCAGTCCAAACATCTTGTAAATTAAGCAGTATATTGTTCATATAAATACCTATAAATATCTGAATATTGTAAGAAAAAAAAGAGAGCTCTTTTTAGCGTATTTGCATAAATACTAATTTATATGAGAAAAGAAAATAGAATTAAAAATAAATTTGGAATGAATAAAACGGTATCGAAAATGTTTACTTTTATTTAAAGCTTATAACTTAAAACTATATTAATTTCATCTTTGAGGTCACCCAATTTTTCTTGGAAAATTTGGGCTTCGTGAGCAGCTGGATCATTAAGTAATTCAGCAAGATCATCTTCCTTTTTCTCAAGAGATTGAAGTTTCTCTTTGTATTCTTGCGTAAATTCTGTAATGTTTATGTAATAGAGAGCAGCGTGTCCCCATGATACTATTGACTGTGCAAAAAGAAGGTTGCTTATCAACTTTAATGCATTGGTTCTGCCTTCTTCTCTATTCTCTTGTTCAAATTTTTTAACAAGTTTTGTGTATGGGCAGAGATCATCGTCTTTTAATTTTTCACCTTTTTGAGGAACTTTATCTTTTCCTAACAAGAACCTCTGGAATAGTTCATTATATTTGGCTTTGTGAGTGAGGAACATGTCATGGAAATGCTTCCATTTATAATAAGAGATTTTCTTCTCCAAAGTCATTGGATTTGTAAAGAACCTAACGTCACTATTGTCGTTGTAATTGAATTCCTTTTGTGGAACGATGTTCGGGCAACGATAGAAACCTTGGCCGTGAGTAATCCATGATTCTCTGCATAGTGTGCAAAATTCATGACCACACGGGCAAGTAACTTCGTAGCATCCGCTGTCCTTGTAGAATCTTAAGCCACATTGAGGGCAAATCACTGTATTTTGACGAATGTAATCTTCTTCATCCATAATTAATGTTGCCTTTTCTTGTGCAAATTGCTCTAAGCCTTCCTTATATTTCTGTATATATGATTCATA